GTGGAAGCTAAAACCATGCCCCCACCCTTAGAAAGGTATGCCTTCTAAAATAGGAGATACCAGAACATGCGCCAGTGACTAGCTGTCTCCAGGCACCTCACAAGTCCAATCATCTTCTTTTGAGAACATGGAATCAGCAGGAATTGTGCCAAATCAAAACTTGGAAAAATTACTTTGGTGTAACTGGCTGGGGGATGCTGTGACTTGTCGACCCATTTTCCCAAGCCTGTAGAAAATAATCTGCAGTTTACGACTTTCTGCGAGAGAGTTTCCAGGATTCTTTGAACCTCTGCAATAATGGCTCTTGACAGGTACCAACCTCAGACCTCACCATTTGTCTTTGTGACATGTCAAGGAAGGGATATGCCAAAGAAGCCTCCTGGCAGCTGGGCTCAGTTCTTTGTTTGAAGGCTCCCACATGTTTCTGTGCCACCTAGTCCTATGCAGCTTTCTCACTCTTTTTATTATTATTTTTCCCCAGTCATGACTTATTGACTTTTGCAGTGCTTTCCTCCCTGATCAAAAGAGTGTCCTTTGACCATCTGTTATTCGGGGGACCAATTGATGCCAAGGCATGTAGCGTTTTCTCCATTGTCACTTCCCCCCCCCTTACTTCTTTGTATTAAATGAAAACTGCAGAGCCTGAAATCTTTCATAGACGTCCAGAAAGGAGAGGGCACGTTCCCCATCTGGTGTTTTTCCTCCATTAAAAGTCGCCTTCCTCCTTAGTTAATAAAGATGACATATCCCCTCCCAACTGCTTTTTCCCCCCTGCTGATGAGAGGGGAGAGCAGCAGAATACAAATAACTTTGTGGCCACATGTCTTAAAACAAAAGCAAAAAATCCCTTGAAAATGCAGATGACTTGATGTCAAGGCTGGCTTAGGTATGATACAGTCAACACCTCAGGCAGCAAAGGTCATAAAAGGGATGCAAATCATTAATTATTTGAAAACATTTGCTACTGCATTTTTCAAAATGCTAGAGATGGAGAGAGATTGCTGTGGGGTTGTCTGTGTTGTCTGCTGAAATAATGTACCTGGGTTGAGATACTAGGTCCCTGGGCTTTGGTGAACATGAGCACCATTGTGCTGCTCTGCCTCAGGCGGCAAAATGTCTTGCTCTGTCTCTGCCTGGCATGGTATACAGGTTTTCCTTTAGGCAGGGGGTGGGCCACCTCTAGACAGCCGGGGGCCACACATGCTCATTCCTGGATTTTATATAGCTTCACCCCGTTTTACTGCCAGCTGAGCCCCCCACTCCTGCACCCCATAGTGACCAAGTGTTATTTTTCGCTCTATAAGACGCACCTTTCCATAAGACGCACCAATTTTTAGGAGAAGAAAACAGGAAAATATAATCTGTTTTCTTCGCTCCATAAGACGCACAGACTTTCCACCCCCCTGTTTTGTGAGAAAAAAGTGCGTCTTATGGTGCGAAAAATACAGTATTTATTTTTTAGATAAAAGAAATCTAACTATTTGTCCTTTGAAAACATGTTAAAATTGCCCCCCTTCACTCCTAGAGAATACAAGATGACTCTTCAGCCCAAATATTTGTGGGGAGTGTCTACAGCACAGTAATACTAGGGAATGCAAACGCCCCCCCAGGACTGACATGTTTCCCGCTTCTGAGTTCAATGGGACTGACTGTTCCTTCGTTTGAGCTGCTCCTTCAAAGCATTTCCCGTATTAGCCTGGCTTCACCTTATTCACATCTAAACTGCTAATTGCCACCCCCACTCTGCCCACGGGGTTCTTTAATCCCTGACATACAACAATATCTCTGTTATTGCTTATTTAGTTTTTCCACTGATAACTCCTTGGCCAGAATCTTACTGAGTTTTCACATCATGAATCCAGAGTTGTGTGCCCAGTGTGCACAATTGTTCTGGCTGTTTGTTGCATGCTCATGCACTTAGGTGCCTGTCTGCATGTGCGACAGACAGACAGAAAATTGTGAAAACCACTTAATACAGTTTCCCTAACAGACACAGCATTTTGCAATTAAAATGTCAGCCTTTTTTACCCTTTTCCTTGTCTGAAATGGCACCAAAGCAATTTATAAGTATCAGAAAATGAGACTATCTCTGCCACCAGGCTTAGAATCGAAATGATATGACTCTCTCTCTCTCTCTCTCTCTCTCTCTCTCTCTCTCTCACACACACACACACACACACACACAAGGATTGGGAGGGACAGTCGTTTTTAATTACAAATATCCATCAGGTAACAAATCCAGTTCTTCTGGATTGGGAGGGACAGTCTGTTTTTAATTACAAACATCCATCAGGTAACAAATCCAGTTCTTCTGGGAGGTATGCCTAACAGGTTGGAGAGCTAGGAGTTAATTTGCAATGGATGAGTTGCTTCTTTCTCTCCCTCCAGTGACTAGAGCAGTGGTGAACAGTAGCTGAAAGAGAGGGGCTGTTACTTGGAGATGGATCTAGGCAGGGTAGAAGGAGTAGAGCTTTTATAACCTTGCATGCTGCCTTTAGTAGGTTTGGCTGGGAGGGATCTTTCTGATCTGGAGTGACTGTCAGTCTACCCAGCACTAACCAATTGTTCCTTCCCTGCCTCTGAATTCAGAGAGCAGGCCACTCTGCTCCGTGGTGTCTCCCCTCTTTGTTGTTTGTTGGCAATCAATAGTCTGCGGAGGTCTGTTGCTGAAAGCAGTCATGTTTGTAAATTTGCTGCTTGATCTATTCACAACTATAAGTAAAGAAAATGGATTTTATTCTTTCTACTATTAATGTGTCAGAGTGAGCTGAGACTGAAAGTGCCAGTTAATGAGAAAGGGGTGGTCTACTCTGGGAATGGGAAACTATTTCTGCTCTGTGAATCTCTGCACTTCTGCTTTATAGCCATAGGAATTTAACGAAAAATTCAAAACTCTGAAACACTAATTGCTGCCACCTTGCCTTCCAGAGGCCTCCCAGAGGCTTGGAAAAGTGAATTTCTGGATTATAATTTCCAGAATCCCCTTGGGCATTCTGGCTGGCAGATTTGGGGAGTGGTAATCAAAAAATATAAGTTCACCAAGCTGGGTTCCTTACTGTTCTTTGTATAGCACATTGAAGCTACCTGTGGTTCTAGTTCTACACATGGGTAAGAGGATAGGTTCCCATCACTGTGCCTTGCTCAGTTGTTGGTTTTAACACTATGCTGAAGTCATGATCCTATGAACCCTTTAGCCAAAAGGACTTAGACTGGCTGCCTTCCCATTTTGAGCTTTCCTGGCAGGGCTATCACAGGGCAGCCCACGCCACCTGCCATTCTTCTTGCATCTGGCAAGAAAAGAAGCTCGCTGCTCCTCAAATTGAGGTATTTCCCTGGCAAACAGCCCCTGACTGCCATTCTTAGCAGCTCTGCTCTCCTCAGCCCCCAGGAGAATAGGCCTTTTGAAAAGAAAAAAAATAAGGAGGGGGGAACCCTTGGCCATTCAGGCACATAACATCACATTTGTTCAGCAGAGGACTTGCGCACTGTGTTGAGACGGAGTGGGGGATTGACATCTTAGTTAATAAAGATGACATCTCCCAACAGTGACTGAAGCAGGCAATACATGTCTGGTTAATCCAGCTCGGCAAGGCATGCTGGTATGAGTGTGGCTGAAAGAAGGGAGCGGAAGGTTCAGATGTACGGGGTCAGTTCTGGATATGCTCAGGCCAACCTCTAGAGGCCTCAAGCAGGGCCCTGTGCTTTTATTCGGTCAAATGTCTCCAAACATCTCTTGCAGCTCCCAGCTCTCTTCCTTTTTTTTCAACCACCCTCTCCATCTTCATCAGAATGGTTTTCGTTTTAATGAATTAAAGCTTATTCTGCCCATATCTACTGCAGACACCTTGCTGGGTTCCCCCACCCCCCACCCTGTGCTAATTATCAAGCACGGCAGCGCTTTCTTCTCTAGCTGCTACCGTGCAGAAAATGAGAGGAACATCCAGTCGTCATGTACAATCTGGCCCCGCATGCAGAGATTCACATGGAAAAGTCAGCAGACATCTCTCCTAAATCAGGAGCAGAGTTCGGAAGAGTTCCTTTTGTTGGACTACGACTCCCAGAGCCCCCCAGGCAGCATAAGCACCATAGCCTGGGAAGCATAGTTTTAAAATGTGATTTATTTTTTTTTCAAAAGCCTGGTAGGAAGGGTAGCCAACTTTTTTGCTCGCACAGACTCCTAGAGAGGCTTAACTCGCTCCCTGATGGCACCACTTGAATGCACGCACCCCTTGGGTTTTCTGGCGTGGGGCAAATTTTTTGGTGATGCACTGTTTTAAGTCCCACCCCACTGTCCTTGGGTCTGACCCAGTATGATGGGGTAGTGTGCTTCCTTGCAGATAGGAAATGAATGAAAGCTTAGCCACACGCTATGCATTTAATATATCATGCACTTCAACTGGGCAATTCAGGTTCACTCCGTAGTACCTGATCCATAGCGTTCATGCTCTGACAGTCAGGTGGCCAAGCTCTTCACTCCAAATCTCCCATACCAAAGTCCAGCTCACCACTGAGTCCCTCCAAAAAAAAATTAAAAAAATAAATCAATATATATTGAATGCAAACACTCTGTGACTTCCTTTCCCATTCTGTTTCCATAGCTTTCATGCTGGGAGGTTTATTCTCAAATCACTGCGGCTTCTTTGATCCATGCTGGGGTGATATCTTTCTCAGGCCAACAAAAAAGCACCAAAAGAAAAGTGTACAAGCTTTCAAGGTCACGGATCTCTTTGTCAGCCAAGATATTACAAAAATAAACGGCGTGGGGGAGGCCTGGTTTTGTGAGCCTGCACAGGGCAGGCGATGTAGGAGGAAAGCTGTGCAGAACATCAGTTGAAACTCCTCAGGTCATGCAGTGGGATCAGGTGTCACCCAGGGTAACCCCTAGACCTCTTGCAAAGAGAAACATTTTGGGTCTTCCGTTTTCTAATTGGGAGTTCTCTGCCTTTGTCTCTCTCTCTCTGTCTCTCTTACTCTTCTCTCTTTCGGTGTTTTGTCTTTAGTCACGACAGACGCCAGAAGGCGAATTCCTGCCACTAGACCAATGCGAGCTTGATGTTGGATTCGGAACTGGGGCCGACCAACTGTTCCTGGTTTCTCCTCTAACCATCTGCCATGAAATCAATGACAAAAGCCCCTTTTTTGCCCTTTCGCAAAGATCGCTGAGGAGCGAGCAGTTTGAAATTGTTGTCATCCTGGAAGGGATCGTTGAAACCACAGGTAAGAAGATACTGAATCTGGTACCTCATAGAAACAGGAATAATAATAGCAAAAGCAGCAGCAGCAGCAACAACACAGTAGACAATTTGTATAGCACTTCCAAGCATTCAAAGCACATCATATGCATTATTTACTTGTAATATTTATAACAATGCAGAAAGATAGGCTGGTTTTATCATTCACCATACTATAGATGGGGAGACAGAAGTTGAGACAGAGGGTGGCCTGTCTAATTAGTTTATAGCAGAGGTCAGTTTTAGACTAAGTCTTCCTCATCTGTGACTCAGTTTTTGTGCCCTGTACCCCGACCGGATTTGATGCACATCCTCAATGGCTGAAAACCATGCAGCAAGAGGGCCTATTTTGGTGCTCCGGAGTAATGTTTCAGTGCAGAATTCACACAGAAATAGACCTGCAAGGGTGTGTGCATTGTATGCATTCTTACCTGAAGAGACATAGAAAATGTCACCAAGTTTTAGGAAGTGTGAGGTATTTTACAGACAAAATGGCTGGGGCAAAAATTGTTTCAATTAATCTCTTGCTTTTTGCAACTCTCTGTGTGTGTGTGTGTGTGTGTGTGTGTGTGTGTGTGTGTGTGTGTGTGTGTGTGTGTGTGTGTGTTTATAATGCTTTGATATTTTGATATTCAGTGAAATTATTATCTATTCAATCCAGTATGTATTTATTTTGTTTAATTTATCTTTGTTATTTTTTCAGCAGTAAAGT